GTTTAGAGGGAAAAGGCAAGTTTCATTTTTAGTTTTACCTGTATATCTTACAACTATAAGCTCAACAGGTAGTTGGTGATCTGGGATTGAAGCTCAGGAAAGAAAGAAGGACAATGGAAAGAGCACTGGGTTTAGAATTAATTCTTGGGTTCACATCCCTTCTTTGCTGCTTCCTTACCCAAATGACCACTTAAGTCAAACCACTTAAACTCTCTGGGTCTCAATTTCTTCAACTATAAAGTAACAAAGTTGAACTAGACCAACTCTACTGATGATTATACTATTGTGATATGTAACTTAGTTATCTGAATAAGCACGTTAGATGGCTGAGAGTTGATGAGATCACTAAGAAAGCATGTATATAGAGAGAAGAGAGAAAGAAGCCTTGGAGGACACTCACAGAGTAGATCATGGGTAATGATTCATCAGAGACTGGAGAATAGTCAGACAAGGCAGAAAGAGAACCGAGGAAAAGCAGTATCATGAAAGTCCAAGGAGGGAAAGAGTATCTAGGAAGGAGGAGAGAGTCAAAAGCGGGAGAGATATCAAGAACATGAGGACTTAACCATTGAATTCCATTCTTGAGAAAGTAAGCTCCTGGGAGCAAGTATTGTTTTTGCCTTTGCATTCCCAGGACATAACACAAGTGACTGGCACATAGTATGCCCTTAAATACTTTTTGATTGTTGATTCATCATTGATCAATCAAGAAATTGTTTGTAACCTTAGAGTACAGTTCCAATGAAGTGCTATGGTCAGAAGCCAAATTGTAAGAAGGTAAGAAGAGAGGGAGGTGATAAAATGCTTTTTATTTGAAGTAGAAACAACATATAAAGATAGTTTTTTTTTTCTTTCTAGGAGTTTGATTATAAAAAGAAAGGCATTGAATTACAGATTGTTTGGAAGGATAAAGTGAAAAGTCTTTTGAAGCTGGAGAACACCAGGGTGTGTATATAGGCAGCAGAAAGAAGGACCTAGTAGATAAGGAGAAATGAAACATTTGGGATAGGAGGGGATGTATGATAGAGGGAACAGTCTCCTAGAAGGGGACAGGATAAAGGATGCTAGTAAGCCAGTTGGTCTTGGCAAGAAGGGTCATCTCTTTGTCAGAGATTGGAACATAACTTCAATAAAATGCAGAGAGGAAATCTGGCATGGTAAATGGCTGATCTCAGCTGTCAGGATCAGGGAGACTGGTTTTCAAGTCCTGCTTCTGATAGGTACTGGCTGTGTGACCCTGGCCATGTAACCTAACCTTTCAGTGCCCAAGGCAATACTCTTAAAAGTATAAGAAGTAAAGCAATTGCCAATCTGCATGACATAGGTGGGGGAAAGGGGTTACTCACTGGGAATTCCCTACACCAATGAAATTGCAAGTATGGGCAAAATAATAATAATGAAATCAGGGCAAAATGTGATAAATACCATAATGTAAAGGCAAAGTACTCTAGAGATTGAGAGGTGGAGAGGTCATATATGTTTGGAAAAAGCAGGGAATGTTTTTTGAAGTAGGCATCCAGGGATGATTTTAAGTTATAGGTAAATAGGTAATAATGAGAAGGAAGCTATTTCAGAGGCAGAGGGCAGCTTGAGTAAAGGCACAGAGGCAGGAAGATGAAGGTCATTTTCAGGCTGACAGAACAGAAGGGGGAATACTAAAAGAAATGCTGGAAAAGATGGTTTAGTGCCAGAGTATAGAGGACCTTGAATGGAAGTTTCAACATAATTTGATAGGCAGTCAGGATCAAACAAGATCTCGATGGACTAAAATGACCAAATTCAAAAGGAGAAAATTTAATAGAGGCAAAAGTAAATTTCTTGGACTCTTCATCCTTCCCTTTTCCTCTCCTTCCTTTCCTCTCCCCTCCTCCCCCATCCCCATCCTTCTCTCCATCCTTTCTCCTTCCTCCCTTCCAATGCCGTGGCGGAGAAGGCCAAGGAGGCCATGGAGCCCGCTGAGGCAGACATTGCGGGGCTATGCCAGGACATGTTCTCCAAAATGGCCACCTGACAGGCGAGCTGACAGCCACCAGTGAAGAGTACAAACTTCTGGAAAATATCAACAAACTGACTAGCTGGAAGTTTCTAGAAATGAAAGATATTGCAGTAAACATAAGTAGAAACCTAAAGGACTTCAACCAGAAATCTGCAGCACTTCAGCCTCATCTGAATCAGATCACTTTAAGTGAGGAGCAAGCAGCAGCTCTGGAGCAGGCAGCCTACAAGTTGGATGCATATTCAAAGAAGCAATGCACAAGAAGTTAGAGAGGCGATGAAAGAATTCTTTAGCACAAAGATTTTAACTACAAGAGCGTTTCATAAGAGCTGAAATAAGTGGGATGGAATTTAACCCTATGCTTCAGTTCCTAAAAGGACATGGTGCTGCTGATCCAAGGAGAATCCCAGCCCCCACCTCTGGTTGGATGTGTCACTTTGACCACCCCTTGGTGTTTCCTAAACCTGTAACCCTGGAACTTCATCTTATCAATGGCTTCATTGTGTGCCCTGGACCAAGGCTCAGAAATCAGGATCAACCCCGTCTAGTACAGACACAGAGGAGAAACTTTCATCTCCCTGTCTCCTCCCTTCTTCCCTTTCACCTAGGGCTCCACCTTGGACTCTCTTTTATGAATGTGTCCCCCACCCCCTTCATAACCTGTTCTTCAATTTACATAATAAATGCCGACTTATGAACTTAAAAAAAAAAGGACATTTCTACACTTGGACTCAAAAAAATCATTTCAGTACAGAGTGAGGGAAATGTGGCTAGACAGCAGTTCCTGTGGGGGAAAATAACAAGGAGATTTTAGTGGACTAAAAACTCATTGAGTTAATAGCGTGTCACAGCAGCAAAACGAATATTATATGTCTTAGGCTGAATTAAGACACTATGTCTAGAACAAGGAATGCAGTAGCTCTGTCTTATTCTTCTGGGGTCAATTCAGCTTTGAGTACCCCATTTTTTTAGGAAAGACAGACATGCTTCAGCAAATCCAGAAAGACTAGCATGATAAGAGAATTGGAAAACTTGTTATATGAGTAGCACTTGAGGAAATTGGTTTGTTGTTTTTTGGGTTTTTTTAAGCTTGGAGAAAGAAAAATTTAGAAGAGTACTAATAACTGTCTTCAAGGACAGTTTTGAAGAATTACCATTTGGAAGATTTATTCTACTTGGCCCCATAAAACAAAATTAGAAGCAATGGAATTGAAGTATGATGAGGCTGTTTGAAGCTACTTGTTAAGGAAAAACTTCTGAACAGTTAGAATTATGCAGAAGTGAAATGGACTACCTTGAGAGTTAATGGGTTCCTCCTCATAGGAGGGGTTTTTTTGTTTGATTGTTTTTTGGTGACGCAATTAAGGTTAAGTGACTTGCCCAGGGTCACACAGCTGGCAAGTGTCAAGGGTCTGTTCTGAGGCCAGACATAGAAGGTTTTAAAGCCAAGGCTGGATGACCATTTCTTAGGGATGGTGAGGGGTTTGACACATACAGGTTAGCCTAGATGATCTCTGAAGTGCCTGCTCTGTGATTCTATGAGTAAGAGGGATTGAGAGCAGAAGAAATAGACAGACTAGTTGGGACACTACTGAAATAGTACAAAGGAGAAGCAATGGTGACCTGAACTCTATTCTGGCCAATTCAGATTCAACATCTAGGCATCTAAATGTACAAAGCACATGTGCTGGACAGATTAAGAGTGACAGCTCCTGCCAATTCATCCTGTGCTGAGATATATATAGTATAATGTATACATTTAATGTATACATATATATGTATGTATAATGCCAAGTAGAGTGTGATGGGGGAATGGGGGCAGCTAGGTGGCGCAGTGGATAGAGTGCCGAGCTTGAAGTCTGATTTCAAGTTGGCCATTTCAGCAAGTCATTTTATCTCTAAGCTGCAGTTTCTTCATCTGTAAAATATGGATGATACTTTCACTAGCACATCACAGAGTTATTGGGCATAAAGTTTTCTGTAAACTCTAAAATACTTTATAAACATGAGGGATTATAGGGGCATATGTGTAAAGCAAAGAGCTGTCGATTTCTTCTCAAAAGATTTAGAGTCCTGATTCTGCCACATAATAGTTGTGTGACCTTGAACAATTCACTTAACTTCTCATTGTTTCATTTTCTTCATCATTGAACTGAACATGATCATATTGCAAACTTCTCAGGTTTGTTGTGAGGATTAAATAACACAACATATGCGAAGTTCTTTTATAATCATAAAGCTATATAAATTTTAACTATTATTATAACAGGTCTTTATGGTAAAATCAAGGTTAATGTATCCCCCCTCAAAACAGTGTTCTAGCAAATTTAGTCCAGCTTTAATGATTTACTTTTATTACTATTATATTTTTGCAACTTTAATGAGGTCTTGTTAATGTTTACTGAGGATAAGTTCCAAAATATTCCTCAATTTTCTTTAACAAATTCAGTATTTTAGAGACTACACACTTTGACCTTGCATTCTACAAAATGCAGCGTTGTTATTATTACCTTGATAAAAAAGAAACTCCAGAAGTGGTTTAGAAATTAGGAAACTTCTTTCAGGATTATTGATGCATCTATTCTCACCATGGGAAGAACTTAGGGAGAAGAATGAACAGCGACGGGATCCTGGTAGTAAGGGGAAGGTTGAGGAACCGACAAGAGCTGGCACAGTTGCGTTCTCTACCTCTGCTTCTCAGTCAACATCCTTCATGTCCACTGATATCCTTAAAGGCAGAGTAGTTGGTGAAATGAATAATTACTCAATTCCCTAATATCGTTTTTTTAATATTAAAATATGGAGCAATAAATTTATCTAAGCTAACAATATATTTTAAAACCCAATTGTATGATAAATATTAAAATGCTATTTGGAGGTATTTTTAGCAGGTTTTCCTATTGTTTTTAACCATAAAGATAATATTTTTGCTTTTGTAAGCTGTTTTGACTAAAAACAGCTGAAAGATGTAATAGAAATAAACAAACTGTTTTTACTCTCTCAGATCCCAATTTTGTTCGGACATTTCTTACAACATATAGATCTTTCTGCAAGCCTCAAGAGCTACTGAGTCTTCTAATAGAGAGGTCTGTAAGTTTAAGATTTTATCATTTCTAAAACATAAGATTGAGCCGCTGAGTTTGTATTTCTTACAGACGTTCTGATTTTTTGTAACTATTAATTCATTCAGTAACAATATATCATATTGTAATATTATTTAAAATAAACAAAGCCTTTTCATGGTGGTTTGCTTCTTTATAATTTAGTAACTTTGAGCAACTATTAAATTCAAAGATTGTTAAAAACTTTGCTTATTATAAGTAAATTCATTATTTGAAATTTCTGGCTTGATTTCAATTAATTTATTAGTAATTTTCTTTAGATTCTTCTGAGAAGTAGCAAATAGAAACAGAATAAAAAGTTTGTCGTTGTTAATTAGCAATTTGTTTCATTCTGTACTAGGTTTGAAATTCCAGAGCCTGAGCCAACGGAAGCTGATAGGATAGCAATGGAGAATGGAGACCAACCCCTGAGTGTGGAACTGAAACGATTTAGAAAAGAATACGTCCAGCCTGTACAACTCCGGTGAGTGTTAGGGGAGAACGGCAGTCCACATTTACAGAGAGCTTTCAGATTCACAAAGCACTTTATGTTACACGTGTGTATGTGTGTATATGTATACAATTGTCATTTGATCCTCTCTACAACCCTGCGATGTAAGTGCTGTTATTATCTCCATTTTACAGATAAGAGAACTGAGGACCAGAGAGGTTAAGTTGACTTGTCCATATAGTATTGGACAAAGAATTCATACCCAAATCTTCCTAATTCCAAATCCAGCACATTATCTACTATACCACACCGCCTCTCAATTATTGATGTATCAGAATTATAACATGTCTTTGAGTAGCCTCTAATCAAAGACAGTATAGAAAATTGACCCACAGACTTGAGTTATGTTTTCATTTAGTGCTTACTGACCAATATATAAGGACAAGTTTAGGGTCTTATATAATTCACTCATCTTTTTTTTTTCTTTTTAATGCAACAGAGTACTAAACGTATGTCGGCATTGGGTAGAACACCACTTCTATGATTTCGAAAGAGATGCAGATCTTTTACAACGACTGGAAGAATTTATTGGAACAGTAAGGGGTATGTTTATTATGTGTTTTGTCTTTTTAATATATATGGTAAGTACATTAGTTTTATAGTCAGTCATACTGGATGTTAACCACCGGCTAATATAATCATAGATGTGCCAACACAAAACACTACAACTGTTTTAAAAATGAATAAATTCATCAAAGAGTTTATTAGTCTAGAAGCATCCAAAAATAAATTCAGTTTTTTTATCCTATTGAACAGCTATTTATTTAAATTTACTATAACTCAATTGGTTGTTTTAACGCTAAATAGACATGTCCTTAAGACAAGCAAAATCAGAGATGTTATTCAGTTAATAGATAATAATGTTCTCCATGGAGGACTAAGAAGTCCTATAGCTATAATCACCACTGGACATATCAACACTTCCTGGTTTCCTCATTACATAAAAAAATTATATGATAATTTATCAACTGATAACATGTCAAATGATAGCATATGAATATAATATTCATCTTTGATATAAAGTCATGTTCCATAAATCTGAGTTTTCTCATGTCATATTTGGCTGTGGATCAATTTGAAAATTGTGCTTTAATATTATTTAATGCTCTACTTTTCTGGTTGTCATTTGCAGCATATACTTTGCAGTGTAAGAACAGTCTAAAATAGACATCGGTAATAATTGTGCCATTCACTTGTTTGCGATGGGTTGATGTGCTATTGGAAAAACCAAGAAGTTAACTTAATACTTTAACCCTGAAAAGAGGCTAATTTACTTATAAAGACTTTTCACCTTGTTAGTGATTCTGGGTTTCAGTCTATAATATGTTATAATGGTACATTCCAGAAATTTAATAGAGTTCAAATGTAACTTAATTTTTAATCTAATGCATTTTAGGCAAAGCAATGAAGAAATGGGTTGAATCTATCACTAAAATCATCCAGCGGAAAAAAATGGCAAGGGACAATGGACCAGGACATAATATTACATTTGAAAGTTCACCTCCTGCAGTTGAGTGGCATATAAGCAGACCTGGACACACAGAGACTTTTGACCTGCTCACCTTGCACCCAATAGAAATTGCTCGACAGCTCACTTTACTTGAATCAGATCTCTACCGGTATGCAATTTGACAAACAGAAGAGCCATGATTTTTATGCAAAATAATTCCATGTTTGTTAAGATATTTTCAAGTACTAAATCATCCTATGTCACAGTGTTCTTTCTGTTATGGCAGAAATTGTTGTATGTAAGAAATTAAAATTAATCATAATTTTCCTTTGTTACAAGATTACCCGAAGATGAAATTACAAATGACTTTTTAAAAAGCCATCTGAAATTTTAAGCTTTACGACTTATCAGGAATCTAGAGAGATCTTTATCAAAATGTTTGCATTTCTGAGGTCACCCTATATTTTGGGGTAAATCAGTCTTTGTTTTTTTTTAGCTCTTCCCTCACTCACTCACCAAGGTATGCCAGCAATTAAGCCAACCCTATCCTAGTTCAACAATTTTTGCTGGCCGACTATTACATGAAAATCTTTTTAATAGCAGCAACAGGAGTTTCTTCTATTAGTTGTCACTTTGACTATAAACTGAACAATGGACTGTCCTAGTTAAGGTTGGGGAGACTGATCATCAGAAAGTTGGCCCCCAGGCAATTTGGCAGAGCAGCCCATAGGAGTGGTTCTTATAAACTTCAGAAGAAATGTTTTTCCAAATAAAATCATGGGTCATTTAAAATGTTACATGTTCGGAAGCTTATAGCTTATTCGTCAGCTTGGGGAAAACACTGCTGTCCCTTAGGCATAGTTGCTAAAAATCAGATTGAAACAAAGATCAACCTATATAATATGTTAAATATAAGCCACAACCTGAATTTGCATGTAGTAAATTTCAAGTTTTGCTATCTCTATCAGGTCATCTTACCATGTAGGAAATAGTAATTGGTCTTTTAACTAAAAAGTGATCTTAGTCATTAATGGTTTCCTTTGTAAAAAGTCATAAAACTAGAATTCCAGATTCATGGTGATTTTAATGTAAAGTGACTCACCTGTTGTAGAACCATTCTAATGACAAAATTCTAAACATTGTACAATTACTGAGGCATTTTATTGGGTTAGCCTGCATCAGGTGGAAGGTAAGTCTTGATGCTTCTTCTCATAATAACTTTATAATTATGTAAAAATAATATTCACTCTATTAAGAGACTGACCTTAAATAATGATTCTGCTTCATACTCTTCTGTTCCCTTCCTCAATATCCCTAAGCTCAGAACAGGAAGGGAAAAAACTTCCAAGTTATTATTTACTGGCCAACAAAACTAGGAAACATCCTACACCCATACAATGGCAGCATTTATTCCAGTGGACTTACTACTAAAATAACCTTTGCCACTCTACCCCTATCTTCTTCCTCTTAACTTTCCCCTAGTCAATGAAGGTCTTGACTACATCTCTCTTCTAAAACCATGCCCAGTTATGCTTTTCCAGACTTCCATTCTGTTATGATGTATCTGGTGTTCCTTTTCCTAGTGAAACTAAAAATCTAAGTTTGTATTTAAAATTTCAGTGTCATTTATTTGAATAACTGCATGAAAAAACTAGGAACATGTGGACATTTATCAATCAAAAACTGACACCGGGGGCAGCTAGGTGGCACAGTGGATGGAGCACCAGCCCTGAAGTCAGGAAGACCTGAGTTCAAATCTGACCTCAGACCAAGCACTTGACATGTACTAGCTGTGTGACCTTGGGCAAGTCACTTAACCCTGATTGCCTCACCAAAAAAAACAAAAACAAAAATAAAAATAAAAAAAACCTGACACTGTATTTTAAAATAAAAGATATAAAATCTGCATCATCTATTTCGTATGCCTTTTTTGTAATTAAGTTGACAGCTTATAAATTGCAACTTTATATCTGATCATCTCAAAATGTTGCTCACCCTGTCTGCCTGCTAATTTCTCTATAAAATGGAAATCTTCAAATTGGTCTGTTATCTTAAAGGATTAAGTAACATTTTATAGTGCATTGAAGAGGTTTTGTTTTCTAATTAAAGCCCCACTTCAAAGTTGAAATTCTGTGACAAGCATGTATGAAAATATCACAAAATATGCGGAAATAAATTTGTTATCTTTATTCTGTATGATGGAAAACCTATCCACATGTTATTATAAAAAGGCAAATATATCACAAAATTCCATTCTTATTTGTTCCAGATATTAGGGACTCTCCTTTGAGGTGATTTCCAATTTATTCTGTCTATAGCTTGTTGGTAATAGTTGTTTGCATATTGTCTCCCCCATTAGACTGTGAATTCTTGGAGAGTAGGAACTGTCTTTTGCCTTTCTTTGTTTTCCCCAGGGCCTTGGTAGTGCTCGGTATGTAGCAGGCAGTTAATAAATGCTTATTGACTGACTGACTAGTAAAGACACCTTTCTAGGCAGTTACCAGGTGCTTAATAAATGCTTCTTGACTACATTTTTTTAAAAGGATATTTATATATTTAGAACACATCTTTTATGTTTTCAGAGCTGTACAGCCATCAGAATTAGTTGGAAGTGTGTGGACAAAAGAAGACAAAGAAATTAATTCTCCTAACCTTCTGAAAATGATCCGCCACACAACCAATCTTACTTTGTGGTTTGAAAAGTAAGTTATTTGAAGCTTCCTTTATTTTCATAGTCCATCAAACTAATTTTATCTTTAGAGTCGGGAAGTTTTCGTGTTCTGGAGTAGCCAAAGTTTATCAAAGGAATCATGATAGGACCACTTGTCCAGTGTTCTTTAAAGAACAGTGAAAGGATAAGTAGTGAATAAGCCTCTATAATTCATGTAGTAATTTTTCAGAGGCAGAGACTATTTTTTAGTAAGGGATGAATTGGAAGCCAAGGTATGGATAAGAAATTAAGGGAGCTTTCTGAAGGGAAAAATATTGGGTTTTCCCTTACTTGTGCATTAATTCTTTTTAATCCCTAGCCTAATATAAATGTAGAATTTTAGTTTACTGACTCTTTAAATGCTTACTCCTGGTTTGTTGTCTATAAAGCAAAAAATAATGAGTTTCAGTGTGCCCAATAGAGAAAAATTTGATAATAAAGGCTTACTGGCCATTTTCAGTTCTTTGCTATCAAAATGGTTTAACTTACTGAGTGAGAAGAGACTGGTTCAGTTGTAATTTTAAGTTTGAGGGGCCATCATCAAATAGAAGTAGGTACTGGATATAAATATGTGATAGTTGTTAATCACCCATGGTTGCCAGACCAATGAATGGTAGCTTAGATGTATATGGCACTTCACAGTTTGTAAAACATTTTCATCATAACAACCCTGTGAGAGTAAGTAGTATAAGTATTATCATTATTTTACAGATCATGAAATAGATATCCAGGCAATTTGTGCTTTGACCATAGTCATAGTTAGAAAGTGTTAGAACAAAGATCAAACTCAGGTCTTTTAACTCCAGGTCCAGTACTCTTTCCATTTTACTATATTTCTATTCAGAGCTTTATGTAATTGGAAAGTCTCCTAATTTAATACTTAAGTTTATTGTATCTTTGGTTTGATAATCTAAAGCAGATATATTTGGATAACTTCAAGTTCAAAGGGATTTTTACCTTAATAGTTTCTGGTATGCTTTATCATTCTTTAGTGTGGCAGATAACATTTCAAATTTATTTCAATACTTTCAATATACATTAACACAATTTCTAAATAACAAAAAGTTGGAAATAAACTCTGTGCCCAACAATTAGAGAAAGTATCAACAATTCTATATGACTGTCATTGTACCCTAAGAAACAACAATCTTGAAAATCTTGGGGATACTTGATATGAAGTGATGTAGAAAGAAGAGACAAAAGACCAATAGATGTCCACTGCATCTGCATATGGAGATCAATCTAAATGAAAATAGAACTTGAGTGAAGTAAATGCAGGGAATGGTGTTGGTACTGACTCGGTGAAGTTCAAGCACAGGCCTTTTCTTTCTTTTTAAAAGCTGTTCTGTCACTCCATAGAGTTCTACTTAAATGGCTCATTGTGCCAGGGAAGTGTCCTCAGTCACATCTATAGAGAGATGTGTAGATGACCCTCAGAGCTACACACATCTCTTCTGCTAAGAATCACAGAATTTTTAGACAGTTTGTAAACATTAACTTAGTTGCTGTTGCTCTAAGACACTTCTGTCCACTGATCAACATGTGGATACTACAGGATAAGGGAATTATATCAGTCTTGACATTTGCCCATTCAAAACTCGGAGGAGGAGAGTAGGGAATTGGGGTAGGAGCAAGACCTCTGGAAAAGCATGCTATCTGGTGGCTTCCTGTTTTAACTAACCATTCTTGCTAATAAGATGCACCTAATGAAGCAGTGATCTCAGTGTCCTAGTTATGGCTCTGGCCTCCAGCGTGGATCTCCTCTGTGGGTACTTTATCTAGTCTAGATGCTTTTCCCATATTCATGTTCTTTTTGTTTTTTTGCAAAATATCAGCAACATGATGTTACAGTCTAAATGTGATATACCTTGGTTGGAATGGAAGGGAAGAAATTTGCTATTGATATCTTGATATCTTATTCCATTTTTCATCTGTTCATTGTTCTTTTATCAGTTATTAAGTGTACTTGTCATGATCTGGATTAGTTGGCTTGCTCACTAAATTTCTTTACATATTTTTCCCCTTCCACAGCTGCTTGATTTTTTTTTTGTTTTTGTTTTAGGCAATTGGGGTTAAGTGACTTGCCCAGGGTCACACAGCTAGTAAGTGTCAAGTGTTTGGTCTGAGGTCGGATTTGAACTCAGGTCCTCCTGACTTCAGGGCCGGTGCTCTATCTACTGCGCCACCTAGCTGCCCCTGCTTGATTTTTTTTATGTGACACTATTACTCATAGTCATCCCCAGTAGGAAGTAAGCTTATTGAAGTCAGGGACTGTTTATTTTTGTCTTTGTAGCCTCAACACCTAGCACAATGCCTTTCACATAGTAGGCACTTAACGAATACTGGTTGGATTGTTGAATCTTCTGCTGTAATATTTTACTAATAAGTTCACATTCTAAATTGATGTTGCCAGTTTTTCTGTCTCCCTCCAGTAATAAAGTAGATCAACTGTTTGCTGAATGGAGTGGCTTTTTTTAACCTTTTTACTATGGCAATTAACATTGCTTAAACTTCCTTAGGAAACAGTGACTTTCTATTTCAATGTCTGTTCTTTTATCTATTTCCTTTTTTTTTTTAAGCAACCACCTATTCAAATAGGTCAGATAGAAGTTGCATCTTTTGCATACCTTATCTTCCCATTTTTTTTCTTCTAACTTGGTGTTGATTTTTATCTTTGCTTTAACAAGCTGATAGTCTAATGTTAGATCATATATCATTTGGAAATGACTCCCTCTTTAGTAAGCAGTCATTTCCTGTTCATTTTAATGTAATCTATTTAATTTTCTTTTTTGATATATGAACTTTGCCATGTCTAGCAGCTTCCCCCTTGATAACTAATATGGAAATATATTTCGCATGACTGTGAATGTATAATCTATATCAAATCACTTGCCTTCTCAATGAGGAGAAAAGGTATGGAGGGAGGGAGAGAATCTGGAACTCATAATTTTTAAAAACTATTGTTAAAAATTGTTTTTACATGTAATTGGAAAAAAATAATAATGTTTTAAAAGAAGATAGATGTGATACTCTGACTTCAGAGATCCTTTCCAGCTCTAAACCTATGAGCTTTTTAAATGTGAGGCTTCCATATCTCCTATAAACCTCTGACTTCTCTTGTTTCTCATTCACTGCCATTTCCTTTTGTCTTATGGTTTCTTTTCTAGCAAGTATATAAGCTCCTTGAGAGCTATTTTAATTTTATCATTGCATTGTTTCATTTTTCTCCCAATGTCTAGGATGGTACCTTTCATATGTTGTTCACATGTCAGTCATTTCAGTTGTGTCCAACTCTTTGTGACCCTATATGGGATTTTCTTGGCAGAGATAATGGAGTGGTTTACCATGTCCTTCTCCAGCTCATTTTACAGATGAGGAAACTGAGGAAAACAGGGTTAAGTGACTGACTTGCCCAGGGTCACACAGCTAGTAAGTGTCTGAGGTTGGATTTGAACTCAAGATGAGTCTTCCTGACTTCAGGCCCGGTGCTCTATCCACTGTACCATCTAGCTACCTGCTTTTTGTATAGCAGACATAATAAATATTTATTGAATTAATGAACAAATGTCAAGATATAATTGATAGAATTAATTTCCTCTCAAGGTTGTTGTCAGGGTCAAGTGAGATAACATAGGTAAAGCTCTTGTCAAACTTCAAAGAACTGTGTAGATGCTAGCTAATTTTTTTTTATGCTACAGATAGTCATATATTGACACTATCACTATATAAGAAGATCATGTTTAGAGAAATATCAACTAAATTAATATTTACAGGGTACCTTAAAAATCTGATTCTTAGTCCTCTTATTCACCACTTGGCCTTTATCACTGCAAAAGTGAGAAGTCCTGTGGCAAGATGATATATAAACACACATGTTTTTTGTATGTACATGGACATGTTTGCTTTGTGTGTTTCCATTGCCAAACAAGTCACTCCCAAGTAGTCAGGGAACTACTAGACTGGTCCTTAGAAAGATGTCTACTGCTGGGACCATATTCTACAGCTTCCCAGCATGGTATAACTTTACAGAGCTTGCATCCTACAGGCATAGCTTTTCAGAAAACAGGGTGACCTCCTTGCCACAATGAGGCATTAGAGTACAATTAATAGGATTTCTCTCTCCCCTCAATTATAGCCTTGTGTTCTGGGGTCTGATGTCCATCCCACAACTACATGTGTTTTTAAAAGTTGATCTGAGAGTATCTTTTCAGGTGCTTGCCCATAGTGCTGTAGTTCTTGTTTCTATTCTACTGGAGCAAATGAAATTTTGATGGTATGTAGAGATCAATCCTCAAAATCTGTGAAAGAGGGAAAGTCTAAATGCTTGGAAAAAAATCATACTGCCCCCAAAAAGTAATGACCACAGAATCACCAGGGTAAAGAGACCTTGAAGGGGCAGTTAGGTGGCACAGTGGATAGACCTCCAGCCTTGGGAGTCAGAAGGACCTGAGTTGAAATATGGCCTCAGACACTTGACACTTACTAGCTGTGTGACCCTGGGCAAGTCACTTAACTCCGGTTGCCTCACCAAAAAGCAAATTGAGAGAGAGAGAGAGAGAGAGAGAGAGAGACAGCTTGAACAGCCATGTCATCCATATACAGAAGGTATTAGTACTGCGATGTAACGTAATTGACAAGTAGTCATCTCACTTCTGCTTGAGGATCTCCAGTGAGGGGAAACCCATAGCCTCCTAAGTCAGCCTGTTCTACTTCGGTGCATTTCTTATTGCTAGTAGGTTTTTACTTGACATTAATGCAGAATTTTCCACTTTTTAACTTTTACCCTTTGCCATGTACACAAACTTTTTGTAGAGTAACTGTACATGTGTTGAGGGCATCTTGATGAAGATATCAGAAATTAACAGCCAGGTTTTCACGACTCACATTCTACAACAGAACACATCTTTACAGTCACATCGTTGATTGAAAGGTTTAGGGAATTTAATATCCCACTGTGCTTACTGTTGACTTAAAAAAAAGGCTTTTGTATCA